ACAATTTCCTGCTATTTCAAGCATCAACATTGTCAAAGTTGTATGTACATAATAAATGGGAATATCAATGCATAGTTTTTAGCATAACATCTTGACTCCTCGATAATTATATCCGTTCGGAGCCTACGCAGAATTAGCCTGAATTGCATGGTAACTGCTGCTGCTTTAAAATTTTTAAAAATTACTCATAATTTTCCCAAAGATTACCAAGATCTCGAGTGCACAATGTCATCAGCGTAATGAAGAGTAAACATTTATGCTAATAATCTGCAATTTTTTTCATCAGCTATAAAGACAGAGGCTATATAGCCGAAAATTTCAGTCCTATTCTGCAGGCGCCGAGCTGCAAAAAGCCTGCGCGCTCGGAGGCGCCTCGTCCTGGGGACCTCTTTCCACTCTACGCTCGGGATAGGAGGATGGGGCTGGGGGATTCTTTTTGGTTTTCTGGTTTTGTTTTGCTCTGGTTTGGTCGGTTTTGTATTTCCTATTTTTCCTTTTTCTTTTTTTTTTTCTTCTCCCTTTTTCTTTCCTGTCATTCTCCCAGCCAAAAGCCGCCTTCGACCCTTTTGATTTGATGTAGCAAAGATTGTGTCCAGATTATCTGAAATTGACACTGAAGAAGGTAAGGGTGGAAACCGGTTTCATTTTTCAGAGGGTTGGAGGCTGAGCTGCGCCCGCCGCGGCGGCTCCCGCTCCGGGAGCAGGAGGGTGGGGGAGTGATTATGTATGCACCAGCTAATTCTTCCATCAAAACTTCTTGTCAACGGTGTCAGGATTATTTTTTTCCTTTTTATAAAAACGCTTGATGTTTCAGGAAGTGTTAATCCCTGAAGGTTGGGGGATGAGGGCGGGAAATAGGAAAGGAGTGGGTGGGGGGGTGACATGTTTCTTTAGCCTGGGGAGGGCACCTTTAGGACGTTTGCCTGTCCACACTGGAGTCTGAGTGTGTTGTGGAGCCGGGGACCTAAAGAGGATTTCTTTGAGTCGTGGGAGGGAAAGACCCTTACCCTCTGTACTGCAGTTGATGGACGTTCTTATGGTCCTGAGGGATCAGGAGCAGAAAAGTTCGCTTGAGCCTTTGATTTCAGGATGATTAACCCAGGCGGTGGGATGACAAAACCTAGAGAATCCTGAAATTGGTTTTTTTAAAGATACAGAATGAAAGATGGACAGCAGGATAAAAATACAAAACCGGAGGCCTGGGTGGCTTCTTTCTGCTCCAGTTTTTCTTGGGATCAAGCATCTCAGGTTCTGTCTTCAGCACCCAGATCTAGTTTTCTTTAGGTGACAGAAATTGATGATGTCTTCAAGGGGAGAGATTTCTACACCAAATGACTCCCAGAATAAATTCGTACTTCTGTTCATATGGGGGGGGGGATTTTAAAACTTTTTTGTGGCTCTTAAAACTAATGCAGAATAGGAAAGTCTGAAGAGCCATCTGTCCAAAGAAAACATAGGTGCAGATCCCCCAAAAGAAAACATAAAACATGGTAGCCAATAAAGGAAAGCTGTGAACTATATAAACATGTTTCCCATTTCATATTTTTAAAATGTTGCCTAGATTTAGGAGCTGGGTTCTTCCACAATTAAACTACTAGTGAGACCACTCAGTTTCAGGCTTATGAAACCCAAGACCAGTGAGGAGGGGACTTGGGGTTGTTGCTTTCGCCCCTCCGCTTCTACCCCTACCCCTTTTTGAGCGAGTGCATCTGAAAGAAGATATTAAAGAGGTATCTGTTGTTTGGCAATTTTGCTAAGTCTGTCTTCATTACTTCGACGCTGTGCATTTGCTAATTTGGAGGCCTGGCCATTGACAAGCTTGCTCCATACACCTGCAAGCAATTTGCCGGCTCCGGTACCGGAGAATTGCAGAGATGGCAGCTCGCACCTATTTGATTTTTTTTCCCCTTTTCTCAATGCACAGCAAATTTGGCTTTCAGTGCGTTATCTCTTTTGTTAATGCAAAAAGATTCCCTGGGCGAAAAAATTGCTCATAATTACCAGAGAGATGGGGAAACTGCATTAGAATAAATAAACCTGAAATTACTGTAATTATGTTGTGTTTGATGGGCCCGGCTTGTAATCAAGAAGAGAATACAGTGAAATGATGCTGACCCTCTTGGGTTTGCAGCTGTACACGCACTTTGGGGTCTTTTTTTGCAGAAAAGAGTCATTTTTATAATCATTAAGCTGTGTGTAACCTATTTCAGAAGTGTTTTAAAATGAGGTTCACATTTTTTGAACAAGGGGAAAAAATCCCAAAATTGCATTTTGCCATTACAGACTCATACATAAGGAAAGGTTGTGTTTTCTAAGTGACAATTGTTAAGACATAATATTCAGAATCAGTATTTAATCATTATAATGAGGTATTGTTTAAATATAACCACCTTTAGATTATTCATAGTTTAATTAATATACTCATTATGAAAATCTTTGAATCAGATATTTGATGAACTACTTGTCAGTAACAAGGCAGCATTAATTAGGCCTATATTGAGATTAACATTTTAAAAAGTACAACCGCTTATAATTATAATAGAGCCTAACTAAAGACCGCCTTCGTTGAGCTAAAACTAATAATTTCTCTATTTGAACTGTTAGCAAGAGATTATTAAATTAGTATAAGCTAATATCTCAAAGTATTAAAACCCGCTTGACCAAATAGATCTTGCCCGTGGCTTCAGGCATTGGGCCCTGGCTGCCGTCTGAGGAAACCAAGTTGGATGCGTGAGAGAAATCTGCCAAAATCCCCCTCTAGCAAAGGCACATCTTGCAGGGAAGCCAAATCCAGGAAGGTCCTGCCCCGGCGGGCGCCGGCGCGCAGTCGGGGCAATCGGTTCCCTTCCAGCTTCCAGGCGGGTCCGCGCGCGCACCTTGGTCTCAGCGGTCTCAGTTCCCCCATTAGCGCTCCAGGTTCTGGGGACCTGCGGAAGAAGAAAAGCCCAATGCCAGGCCCAGAAGGGGCCTCGAGGTCCCGGGCTCCATCCCCCACTACCTCCCTTCTTCCTCCATCACCCCCTCCTCCGCCGCTTCCCCTCCCCTTCCCAAAGGGCGTCGGAAGAGCCAGGCGCGTCTGATCTTTCACCAGCACCAATTGAAAAATGGGTGCTTGTCACAACACAGATCACTGCCTTCCTCGCTCTGCTCCCCGCCGCGCACTGCAAAGGGTCCCCCAAAGGCGGAGGGCCAGTGTCGGAAGGCGGCTGTGGGAGAAGCGGGAATCGCTGGACGCAGCCCTTTGGGGCCCGCAGCTTCCCCATACTTCCTCCGCTCGGCTGCAGGGTTTGGGGTTGAGGGTGGTCAGAGGCGCCCCGCCAACCAGCCGAGGAGGAAGCCAGGTTGTTTATACCTGCTCCCAGCTCACGTTTATCTGGAGAGAACTGATTGAGTGGTTCATTGGAGGTGCCCCCTTAACGACCCGGCTTGGAACTGGGGTAGGGGACTCCACTGGGCCAGCTCTCTGGTTCCAACAAGTCAGCGGCGCCCACCAGGCTCTCCCGTGGCCCCTCCATTTCTCCCAGGCGCAGAAAAAAAAGCCCGGGATCCTTAGGCGGGAATAGGTCTCTCCTTGTGCAAGGGGCCTGTGGATGGGAGTGTCTGTGGAGAGCCCTGGTGGCGCCTTGAGACTGTCCCCGGAAGCGCACTGATTGATTGGGGGGCAGCCTGACAGACGTGTCCTTCCGGTCCCTTTCCGGCGTCTGGCCGCGTCTTTTCCGCGTCGAGATCCAGCGCCCTCCGGACAAGCCAAAGCCGGGAGGCCAGATCCCCACGGAGGCGAGGGGGAAAGCCGGGTGTCTTGGTCTCCATGCTTCTAGGCGTCCCGCAAGGTGACTGGACGTGTGTTGCGGGGATGAGGGTGGAGGCCACTCACATCTCACTGGCCGGCTGTCTCTGAGTTCTGCTTTGATCTCTGCTCAGCCGGCCTTCACAGCCCCTTTGGTTCCCGAGCCCCGGCTCCGCCAAGCGGCACCTGTTCCTCAACCTCCTTCCCAGAGACCCTCCTAACACAGGCAGGGATCAGACCCCTGGGCAGCCGGGAGCTAGGCGCCAGGCCAGAGGAGCCGCCCCAGGGGCCCTGGCCCCTTCTCCTGGCTTCTGGAGTCAGAGTCGCTGCCCCTGCACGTGTCCCAGAGGTGGAAGCCTGGCCGGGCCCCAGCGCTCCTCACACAGCACACCATACGGCAGCTCTTTCTCGAAACCATAATTTTACTGTGTCAAAGAAACTTTATAACTTATTTACAAAGTTCTTTTTTTCCAAGATACAAAGCAATAAGTTAACATTCTCAATATAAAACTAAACTTTGACATAGAGAACACAAAACATGGTTGATTTCAACTGATCACATTTTCCAAATTTCACAAGTAAAATGTCAAGATTCTCATTTCACAAAGCATCAGGTTTTACGGCCACACACAACGGAACGGAAAAAAGCTAAGCTTGTGCAACATGTTTACAGAACAATAATAATAACAATAATAATTAATAACAACAATATGTACAGCGATTAGATCCTGCACGGGAGACTGCGGTCAGGGTGGTGACTGGCATCATTCTGGTCGAGCCTCTGGGGGTTGTTGTAAAGCTGCTTTTGTCTTCTTTTAAAGCCCACTGGCAGGAGGGCCCTCGCTCACACCCGCCTCTTTTCTCACCGCCGCCCACGGCGCTCGCTCCCTTTCTCCCTAAGGAGAGGATTCAGGCTTTCCCTCCGGTCCAGGCAGGGAGACTCAGCATTCTTCTCGAGATGAGAAATTGTGTTGGCTTCGTTTCTTTCTTTTTGAAATAATACGGGACACGTAAAATACGCAAATCATTCAGCTCCAACCTCTTTATACCAGCGAAATACAAAAGTTACTGTATAAATTAAAAATCACCAGGTCCCCCTCATTGTTCTTCCCGGGTGCGTTAAATTACTCGGTCTGTGTGGACAGCGCGCTCCGCCGGCCCCACCGAGCCGCGCACTGGCCGGCCTTCAGCCTCAGGCCAAGTCCATTGCTCAATAAATACCCCCCCTCCAGTTCCCCCAGTTCCCGAACGAGCTAACAGGTGTTTAGGCAGGCCCAGGACAAGGTCTGAAAGGACGACACACCAGGTATCCGGGCTGGACCTCGCCTCCCGGGACCTGGTGACTTTTTTCAGAGGCCGCAGCGTGAGGACAGCGGACAGACGAGGACCCCGACTTGTCAGCGCACAGATACAGAGCGAAAGGAGACAAGAGACCGACAGGACAGAGAATAGCTTTTGCTTTTCCTACATTGCTTTCGTGTTTGTTTGTTTGTTTGTTTCCTGATAGTCCCACACAACTGAGGGTGGCGGGTGGGGTCCAGCGGGCTATCTTGCCGCTCGGGCTGTCTCCCCGCGGCTCTGACTGCGCCCCGAGGCCTCTCTCTGCTGCGCGTGGCCCAGGCCGGGGTTCGCCGAGGGTGTGGGCGCCAGGGAAGCAGTCAGCCCGGACAGCGAGGGGCTCTGCGCAGGCGGCGGTCGCCCCCCTTCACTGTTCCTTCTTCTTTCCCTCTGGGCCCTTCTCCGGGTCCAGGGCACGCGAGTGGGGTGGACGGACCGGGAGGCGGGAGGGCCGGACCGGGGAAGCGGGAAGGAGGTGGGCGGGAACGGCTGGGCAGCCTCACATAAGTTGGGGTTGCTGCATAGCTTCTTGGTGCGCCGAGGGGTACCACGACGTGTAGCTGGGGATGTAGGAGCCCGCGCTGCCGCCCGAGCCCTTCCCCGATGAGGAGTTGGGGTTCCAGCCGGGCGGCACCGGCGGGGAGCCGGCAGACAGCGCCCTGCCGTTGGCCAGCGCGCTGCCCTCCAGGGCGGCCCCGCCCTGCTTCATCAGCTTCTTGAACTTGGAGCGCTTGTTCTGGAACCAGATCTTGACCTGCAAGAGCGGACAGCAACGTGACTGGGCTAGGTCCATTGTGCCTATCGGGTCGCGGGCAGTGGGACGGCGAGAGGATGCCCTTTACTGGCCTGGGCGAAGGGACGGCTCCCAGCCGGGGGAGCCGGGCACTACGGCCGCCGCCGCCTAGGAGGGCCGGCCGGGGCAGCTCTGAGAGCCAGGGGGCGTGGCGGGCACGGGCGCGCGGATCTAGGCCGTCTCCTGCCAGGGACTGAGCCCAGCCCTGGCTGGCAGTTGTCTGGGGAAGACGCAGCGCCTACACAACATAGGCCCTTAATTCCAATGTGAACATCAATAAAAGAATCGAGTAGAGGAAAGGAGTGTAGGAAATTTATTTGCAATTCTACCCGCCTTCTCTTTGCTAACCTTTCTGGCCTTGAGTGAGTTGGGGACTGACCAAGGAGGCCACAAGGTTTTGTTAAACTTTTCATTTGGACTCAAGTCAACTTTTCCTTAGGGTGTTTGTCTCCCCAGCTCTGCTCCAAATCCCGGCCTCAACGTTGGAAACCCGCGCCTTTCGTCGTCAAAATGCCCATGGGCTCCCCGAAGTCTGACAGAAATCCGGGAAGGAAGGGCCCTTTCTCCTCCAGGGTCTGGGACCTGGGAGGTGAGAGAGGGCAAAGGAAAGGCTCCCCCCTCCCCCCGCGGGGGGGAAAGAGGAGGAGGGGGGAGACGCAGGCTCGGGCCCAGGCCCGGAGGGATTAGCTACACACTTTAAAAGGCGAAGAAGGGATTAAGGCCCGCGTCTATTGTTCCAGAGGTTCGGGCACGTGTGCCTACAGAATCCCCACAGAAAACGTCTGGGGAAATCCTCCCTGCGCCCTAATCAGATTGTCCAGGGTTAGAGGGCCGGAGTACGGAGTGCGGGGAGAGCCAGGACAGACAGAAAGAGGGAGGAAGGAGAGACGCTGGGAGAGCCTGCGGTGGCGGGGACACGCGCGCGCGCGCACACACACACGCACACACTCCCACCGACCCCGAGGGCCAAAGAGCAAAAATTAAAGCTCCAGGCGCAGGCGGGTCGCAGGAAGCCTGCTCGGCGGTGGGGCAGCAGCGAGGTACCTGCGTTTGCGTGAGTCCCAAGGAGGCCGCGAGCTCCGCCCTCTCGGGCAGAGCTAGGTACTGAGTTTGCTGGAACCTCCGGTTCAAAGCCTGCAGCTGCAAACTGGAGTAAATCGTCCTTGGCTTGCGGATCTTCTTCCCCTTGCCGTTGAAGCGCACTTCACCGCCTTCCACAACCGTGCTCTTCTCGGAGTCAGCCCCTGGAGGCACAGCAGAAGCGGGGGCCGTTGTTAATGCGAGGGACAGCCTTCAGTTTGGGGAGCTTGGGGGGGGGGGCGCGAGTGGCTAAGGAGTGCGGTGACGGAAGCAGGACCGGGAGAGGGAAAGCTCAAGAAGCTCCAGAAACCAGGAAAGGGTCGCGTAAAATCCGAGGGCCGGACCCGGGCCGCTGCAGGCAGACTGGGGCAGTTCCCAGGCGCGCGGCTCCTGCCTTTGCAGGGAAAGTTTGCTGTTTTTGCAGGCAGTAGTTGAGGTTTAATTACCCTTAATTGCATACATTGTTTATAGCGCTACGCAATAAATAATTACCGAGACTAATACGTGCACATGTGGGTTTCTGTTTTCCAGCGGGGCATTGTGTGCTCGGTGCACGGAGCCACCCAGAAGCCCAGCTAGTGCCAGGAGACGCTCTCGGATTTATTTATCCTTTGCTGGGTAGTTGTTAGCTGGGTGGATTTTTAAAAATTTTTTCTTTGCTATGACATGGATCCATAGATTGATACCCGAAACCTCCACTGCTCCGGCGCCCTCCCCACCCCCACCCAC